TACGCCTTAAGTATTTAGCATACCTGAAATTATCTAAATAGGAGAATTTATATAGATTCTCGAAATTCATATCGCTAAAGTAAGGCATGAAAATCTAGAAATTTACGTATAATAATCGAAACTATACATTTAAACGATTCATCAAACTTATATAAAGAATATTATTGTACGGATTCATATAGATTAACTTGGACAGTTGTATTCATACCACGTAAATTGATCTACGAATCTAATCAAATACATTCATGCAAATATAAGCAAATAAATAAAACAATCGTCGCACCATAGCGTGATGAGGGGGGATTTAAAACATTAAAACCCTCACTTTTTTGGCGTCATTAACTAGTGAATGATATCCCGAGGTGTAATTTGCCCAGTGTGGACGGATAGAATGAACATTACAGATAGCTGATCAAAGTATTGAAAGAAAAAAGAAACAAAGCGCCACTTTTCAAAAAATAAAAATTTAAACTTTTAATAAATTAACATATAATCAAAGAAAAATCAATTCCCAATCAGCATATTTACTGAATTATATATACTCAATTAGCTTAGCCAAAATTCACCTTCAAATTTGTCTGATTGTAAGTGACAGAATTTAATTGCAGTGTAAGACTTTCATCATCATGTTTATGAATGTTGATTTGAGCACAATTTTCAATGATAGACAGCATCATCTGTCAATGGTCTTCTCACGACTTGTTTCCCACGTGTAACCACGTGCTATGTCCTCTTCAGACCCTTGGTATTCTGTCACCCCGTAGATGTAGATTTGCCCTTTAACTCATTGGGTTCCTTTCCTATTCCTCCTTCTCCTTCTCTTGTTTGGAGTGCGAAATACGAAGTACGAAGATGTCCCCTTAATAATATGTCTCGCGCTTGACAAATACCACCACACATCTACGTATAAATATAAACTATATTTCTCGTGCTCAGATTTAGGATGTTTACACTGCACAATTCAGACATAATGTGACCTTAATCACTAACTCCTCCCAGATTCTATGTTTGTGGTAAGAATACCTTACATTGATACAGATGACCTTAGGTCAAGTTCATCGAATCCGTGGGCAAGTCATAAAATCCCATGAGCATTCTACAGACAATATGGCCGTATATGCCAGCATACATTACAACACGACTTATTTACATTTTGGCTATTCTGTGCAGTTTAATGCTTAATTATTTATGGCATAATATCCACTTAATCTAACTCTCCTAAGGTAAATTGCGCGAGCAATTAAATATTGCGAACTAGTATATAAATATATACTTGTCATTAACTCGCAAGATTAAATATCATCCTACACAGAGATTCAATTCATATATCCTAAGAAATATGGCATATTCGTATACTAGGGTGAATTCATAAAATCCTTACACAATTCTACATATCGAATATTTAGTTGCATCCGATCCGTCAATTCTATCATTGAGTTGATAATTGTAAAAAAATCAAAGAATTAAATGGTATAAACTAACATATAATTAGGGTCCTACGAAATAAATATCATATATGGGTGAATTATAATATATTATATTTGCAAACAATCAAATAAAATAGCATTAGAAACTCAAGATGTATACCTTACTGCCGTTTTTCTCTTTCAGACAACAATCATAGCCTTTAGTTTGTCTTCTTTTTTAAGATAACTACCTGGCTCCTTTTTGTGAATTTCTCGCAGAACACTACTCACTAGCGTCTACGGAGTCGACACAGTTATCTCACAAGAAAAATCTGACTAAAGGATATTTTCAAGAAATAAGTCCTAAATTGTTTCTCAGAGTGTACGCCCTTAAGTTTTCCTGACCAATCAGAAATAACAGTACATAAAATGTTCCCTCAAAATAAAGTGCCTGTCGTCGATTTCACAAGCCTAAAACATGCTGCAATTAGCTACAATTGAAACATCGATCATTTGACGTGCACCCTGTTGAACTGAAACGAGTTTGAGTATAATCACGCGTACACCATGTGCCATAAAAAATGACCAGACCAGATTGTACTGAAGATAAACGTAGTTCCTTTTATTTTTAGAGATGAAATAAAAATGTAATCAATGAACTGTCTCCAGTCCTTTCTGCTTTGATTAAGTTAACTTGAAAGCACAATTTATTTCATCTTGAGTTTCAACCAGTTTCAAAACTCGACACATCACACATTGTAATCATATCAAGAGAATTGATCTACGAATCTAATCAAAAAAATTTATGCAAATATAAGCACATAAATCACAAACTATCATATTGATATCAAGAATTTACGTGAGACGGATGAAAGAAACCTTGTCTCTTCAAGCTTTAAATGCTTTAATTGTGTTCGTAGACTTTTCCAGACATCGAATCCATTAGAACCTAAATACGAGTGAATTTCTTCTAACTTTCATTCAGAGTTCTGTAACCTTTGTTTTCTCTTGCAGAAAACAATGGTGTCGACTAATTCTAAGGGTTGCCATAAGCACGTTTAAACGGATAGTTTTCATGTGGAATCACGCCCCATTCAGCGTAACCGATCAGAATTGAATATATTCCAGCCTGAACTAAGCTCAAAACAGTGCAGTTCGTCTGACAACCTCAGTTTACCCAGATTTCCTGGTAAATTTCTGAAATTACAGTTCTCCATTCAAATCGGAAATTGGCCTCTATCCTGCCGAGTTAAATAAATAAAGTTTTATTCAAGAACCAATGCTTCCATGACAGTAATATTTGCCAATTAGTATGTTACGGCGAATTAAACAAGCTCGCTCCAGCATCCATAAGTCTAATTAATAGTTCACCTGTCCAACTTAATGTGTTCTTCTAAGATCGACAGTAATTTGCTCATTTACAATCACAATCCAAACACTAAAAACTATTATCGAAAAATGTACACACTCACAAACACAAACACTCCATACCCTCACCCATATATATATGGATGTATATATATATATGGATGTATATATATATATATATGGATGTATATATATATATATATGGATGTATATATATATATATATATATATATATATATATATATATATACATGGATGTATCTATATATGGATGTATATATATGGATGTATATATATATATATATATATATATATATATATATATATATATATATATATATATATATATATATATATATATATATAATTATATATATATATATATATATATATATATATATGCATGTATATATATATATAGATATATATATATATATACATCCATATATATATATATATACATCCATATATATATATATATATACATCCATATATATATATGGATATCCATATATATATACATCCATATATCTATAGATATCCATATATATATACACATCCATATATATATACATCCGTATATATATATATATATATATATATATATATATATATATATATATATATATATATATATATATATATATATATATATATATATATATATATATATATGGGTAGATGTGTGTGTGTGTTTGTTTGTGAATGCGGGTGGGTGGGTGGGTGGATAAGTCTGCATGTGGGTTAATGTTCCTGATTCTAGATTGAAATGGTCTTTAAATAGCATATTATATATATATATATATATATATATATATATATATATATATATATATATATATATATATATATATATATATATATATATATATGTATATATATGTATATATATATATATATATATATATATATATATATATATATATATATATATTTATATATAATAATATATATATATATATATATATATATATATATATATATATATATATATATATATATATATATATATATATATATATATATATATATATATTCGAAGAAGAATAAAGTAGGAATGGCACCGAACAGCAGCTTTATGGAGGACGCGAGAGTCTTAACAGCAGTACCTCTCTTTCCAGCAAGATATTTTGCTTTCTTGGTGCGAGTTTTCTTTTTGGTGCTTTCTTCTTTGTTTTTGTGAGAAGTGCTTTTTCTGCACCAATCATTTGTAGATTTTGCCGTCTTGCCATGAGTGGCTTTTGCTTTTTTGTTTTAGCCTCATCATTAGGATATCATTTTGAAAAGGGCCGACTGACAGCTCCTACAGAGCCACTTCCACCAGGCTTCTATATAATCTTATTATGGTTTGCGTATTGATTCTTGGATTTGTCAGTTGTTACAACACTTCGTTATGTATTCCCTTTTAAAAAATTGTTATGGCTAGCTTCTAATAACTGTTACCGTAATTGTGTATTGCTTTCATTACTGATGGCACAGAAGAGGATGGCAATGCAATAATTTTGAATACTGTTGAATACTGTTAGAAAGAAGTGAAGGGTGTTAGTTTTGAAGTTTTTTCATACGTACGTCGAAAAAGACGTGTAAATGACACTAACTCTTTCTTTATATCAGTGATACGAAATCACACAAAATCGGGAGTGGGAGATATGCACGGAGTGTTTGAGTGACATGGTCATATGCGTAATTCAGACAAGTTGTCCCTAAGAATTTTTGCTGACGCTGGCACTTGAAACTTGCTTCTTTGACTTTTAAACAATACCACATAATGGACACTGTATGCTTTACTTTGTTAAAATCAATATCAAGTGATGTAAATAATACGATCATTACGATATATTTCATATTAACTAAAGTTTAATTTCGTCTTCTACTAATATGTCATAGAAGATGACAAGAAGTGCTTATCAAAATGTTGGACACGATACCTTAATCAAGAAAGTGGGTTCTCCTTGACTTTCTGACAGTAATGCGCACGCCAATTGCTTCACTTTCTTACAACACCCGATACCTGGTGGTGGACGATCAAACAAGTGTGAGTCGAATTAGATCAAATGTTTGTCAAGTTCAGTTTTTTCTGCAGTCAACATCTTATCGGGATGACAAACTTTGACGAATTAATTATCACCTCTTTGAGAAAGGAACATGATGATGCAATAGGCATGTTGAACAGAATTCTGAGACTACTGTCAATGATAAAATATCCGTTTTTGTAAGTCTTTATTATGACTCGAAAGGGAATCGAACCAACGACCTCCTGCATCCGAGGCAGACGCTCTAACAACTAGGCCACTGGAGTGGTCTTTCTTCTTCGTCTACTTTTATTATTATTATTATTATTATTATTATTATTATTATTATTATTATTATTATTATTATTATTATTATTATTATTATTATTATTATTATTATTATTATTATTATTATTATTATTATTTGTAGTAGTAGTCAGTTATATCGTCATATAATGAACGTAGCAATATTTTTATTAGGCTGCAAGAAACAAACGAAAGAATATGACACGTTGAAAATATAATTGGCATTTGACATAATGATATATTCCTCTAAAAATAAAGGAATAACCTTCAACATCAATTTATTTACTGTTTCCTAGTAATTAGATATTATTGATCATACTTTTATCAGACCTTTTGTGCCAATTTATAGTCTCCAATCTAATGAACACAATGCTAGTACGATTTGATTTAAAGCATCATTGTACACCTGCAAAACGCAGACTGAAAGATAAAAGATAAAAATGCTTTTTAGGTATTCAAAAGTAATAATACATAAATAAATGCATAACTGAGATCAGGCTTTATCATTATAGTTCTGTAGATATGCGACTATTTAATATATATATATATATATATATATATATATATATATATATATATATATATATATATATATATATATATATATATATATATATATATATATATACACGGTATCCTCCAATTCCATAAAATCTTCAGCTTTTAAAGAAGGATTAGTGTCTTCCATAGTGTTTATAAGTCTAGAATGATTTCTCCCAAACTGTTGATTTATATGGTATTATCGAATTCAGCATACAGGATGACGTTCACCGTGTTGGGTAGCGCATCAGCAAACTGAAGGTCCACATGCAGTTGACCCTATTTTATAGGGTGGAATGTCCCTCGTCACTGCCTTCGTCTGGAGTGAAATCAAAGGCCCACAAAGTGAAAACTCCGACAAAATCTTTGTACGAAATACCGTGGCTGGTGTTGGTTACTGGTTGTCTGGTTCATACAGGGACAAGTACGATCTCAAGTAATTGTTCTGGGCAAAGTTAGGTTCAAAGGATCTTGTACACAAAGTATTGCCATCGCGACTGACTTCAATCTTAGACACATCGTAGTGGTTAAACTGGAAAGGATTGGCAGTGACAGCTCCGTTAAATTAAACGTTTTCGAAACTGCCCTTGGAACAGATTGGAACAGATGATCTTCGATCTTGGATCGGGGTCCACTAGCAATAGTGAATGTTTTCACTTCTATACGTCGTATCGGATACTTGGCGGTCAAGGCGTGACTAATGTCCTTTCCTGCATTAGGTAACACTTCTATGCGGCATACGTAAAGTTTGACTTCGTGTATGATGGTCTTGTACTCTTTGACATGAGCCATCAATGGAAAGCGGAACTACTACGATTCAGTGTCAAGCGAATATCCACTCAGTTTAGTAAATACTTGTCTGGCAACCACATGTCCAAATGCAAACGATCAAAAAGATCTAAACTTCGACATTGCAAAATTTTCTTTCGACGATCATTAAACCAACATTATGAGGATCGTCAACGACTGTAAGGGCTGTGTCGTTAAACGTGTCCTCAACAGCATTTTAAGGTTTCCATACCACGTAAGCATCCAAATTAGTAATCTTTGCCTCTTTTCCGTACGTCGTGATATTTTCTAGATATGCTCTTTAAGGGTAAGTATCCATACTTCTGCTGACCAGTTTGATATTCAAATACAAATCCACTTCACTAAGCAAGGAATGCATGAAATCATTGACGGCAGCTTTTTCTGGCATCGGCTTCCGGATTGGTGCTGTCCGTTTTGATCACTTTCAGTTTTAGATATAAGTAACTGCTATTCAGATCGATGTAATTTTCGGGTTGTCCTTTGATTTTGAACTCGATGTGAGCGGAATCCGCAAAAGAGGAGACGGGATAAAATTCGACCCATTGGGATTCTTGCATCGTCATCATGGTGGGTGGCATGACAAACATGTCCAGTTTCCGACTTGGATCAAGCACAGGACTCTCGGTGCATCATTTTTTCTCTCTGTAAATTTGTAATAATCAAAACGTCTAAGTCTCAAACAATTTTTCTTGTCTTCGTTTTTCTAGCTTTGAGAGTGTGCAGTCCTGTGAAAGGTTGTTTTCGTGGTCTTTTTCTGCCTTGTCCTTACTGTGGCGTCAGGGAAGCAGGAATGCCTGATGCAGCAGCGACAGTAGCAGTTTCCCTCCGATCCAGAAGGTCTTTGCCTATCTGAAGCAAAACATTTTTGCTTGCCCATTAAGAAAGCTTCTTTGGGGTTTTGTTTGTCAATGATGACACTTTGAAGAAATTCTTTACCGTGTGTCAGCGCAGCATCTTTCAGGGCGTGCAATACCCGTGCCACCATCGGTTTCAGCATGGGAACCACTGTAAGAATGACCGATTTGAGCATATTCCCTAAACCATGTCCTCGTTGTCGAGTGACTTCTTGGTACACAGCATACACAACAGACAAGAAGTTTTTAAAGTACTCGTTTTCGGAAATAGAGTTTCACGGTGACTTTCCCTTGGGTGAATGAAATATTTTGTACAAGATCTCAATTTATTGTAATGTTGACAATATCTAAATACGACTTACTGTTATGTAAATAGTGAGGATGTACAAATTTGCGGTGAACGTGATAGGTGTTTCCATTTTCTTCGTCATCAGCCGTGGCATAATCTACTTTATAAAGAATGACACGCAGTAGCGGTACAGAATTGTGTCCCACTACGTTGTGCTCCACTACATAGGAGTACACAAAGATCAAATTTAGTCCTCGGTTCATTTCTACAGGGTATCGAAAATATTTGGAAAAATCCAAGTTGCCAGTCACGACATGTATTTCGCTTTTAACCTTGATTAACCCAGGGACTCCAACTAAAATGTGATACAATGTAGGACAAAATGTAATGTCCTGCTGAAATTGTATCATTAGACGACGAGCTATTTTGTGGTACTCGATTGTGACACTTTTTCTAGCTCTCTTCAAGGCTTTACCAAACATGTAACTGAACCTTTCAACAAGGGTGTTTACCAAATGTTGACCACTAAAATAATAACCCGCATGAATTTTCAAATAGTAGGTGGGTCGTTAAGTTTTATAGTTTTTTGCTTTCATAAAGTCAGCTACAGCATTGCCTTTTTGCACTTCTTGGTCATAAACTACTATGAATACAGTTTTTTGAGTTTCGACGATGTTTCTGATTTGTGTAGTGTGAATCATTTCCACCAAGGCTACTTCCCAATGGGGTTCGTGATCTAATTGAATGGCCTGAGGTAATTTGGCCGTGAAATAGCACAAAATGTTATTGGAAAACACCTACATTGAATGTCACTGGGTAACGTTCAGTAAAATTGATTGTTCATAATTCCACAGTTCTAGTGTCTGAGGAGTCAGTGGAAGTCAGAGGAATGTCTAAAAGAGGATGGTTAGGGTGAATATTAGAACTCACGTGGGACACAAGAATTCAACTGCTGAGCAAAATTATCTGCTGCAAACTCAAATTGGCAATGGCTTCACCACAAAGATTTGGCAGAGAAAAACGATTTGTGTTTTAGTCACAGGTTCACCACACCACACCAACAAGGGGTGCTTTTGTAGATCTTGCAGAGGGAAAGGAGCGATCAATGTAGGAGCTGAGGCTGTGTATAAAGGCATGACGGTCAATTCTTTTTATAGTCGATGGCTTGAGAATCGTCATTCCAAGGGTCAAAACATGACGGATATCCTTTCCAATGTACATCGATCGAGAATGCTTTCTATTTCGTACACTTTGTCATTTTTTATTGGTCAAACGTTGTAACTCAGATAAGTAAAACGTTCCTTTTAACACTTCCCCGTTGATGTCTTCCAATTTATAGTCGGGAGGTTAACGACCACACAATTGTTCAATGACACGAAACAATTCGGTTGTCCAATTGGGTAAGTAACCTTTGTCGAAAGTACGTTCGATTTTGCCAATGCGTACACCATCCACTGTGACTACCTTTCTTGGGTACAGTGACTGACAGGGACGTACCAAACAGGCTCTCGAAGACGGCCACTTTGTTGTATGGAGTAACTTCTTGAGGGGCACGTCAAATTATCCGATGGTAGCATTGGTTGTACGTTTGAACGAGGTGTGGCAAGACGTCGATGTACTTGAGAGTGTGTTGATGCGTAAAATATTACCACATGCGTTCTTTAAAGGTGCGTTGAAAACGTTCCACAATGCTGGCATTGGTTTCGGAATTCTCGGTGCTAAAAAGATTAATGTCACGTTTCGTCCATTCTTTTTGGAAAGCTTGGTTTAGAAATTCGGTACCTTTGTCGCTTTCCCACCGAAGATGGTAACGACCACTTTGTTTCAACAACAGTTTCAGGGCTCGCACTAATTCACTGCTAGATGTAGAAGTCAAGGGCACAAACCAAGCAAATTTGGAACAGACGTCGATGACAAAAACAAATATTTGTAGCCACGATTGTATGTGGCGAAATGAGAGACATCAGCTAAATCAACTTGCCATTGATGGTCAATACCTTCCACTTGGGCGCGACTTCTAGAAAACATTCGTCGAATGGGTTCGTGTAAGGTGTACGCGGTTTGCTCTTGTAACTATCGTTGCAATTGTGGTAAATGGATAATTTTCAGTTTTGTTTTGTCAGCACAATACAATTTCTGAACACCTCCATAACTGGCTGAATGGGATGGATCGTAGTAAATGCTGCCTATGATCTTCTCCATTTTTTAATAACTGATCTAACTTTTGCTAATGCTACACTATTTTTTTCTGTGGTATTTTCTTGGATTTTAATGCTTTTCGTGTCCGACGAGCAATAGGTGTCGAGGAGGAGGATGACGTATCTGGGCTTAACGGATCTTGTTTCACTTCTTGTTTCTCTTCTTTCTTTATCACTTTTGTTGAAGAGGGTTTAGACATCATCTTTTTTAAGCCAAAAAATCCTGGATGTTCGTGGTGTTGTTAACTTGCGTACTTTTTCTACTTTCTTACACAATATGGTTGGACCCACTTC